TAAATTGATTATTTGAGGCCCTAAACTAATTAAAATAAAAAAGTTGTCAACTACAAAGTTTTATAACTTTTTAAGATCTATAACTTTTATTTTAGTAGTTTCTCCATCCGAGGTCACTTATAAAATTTGAATTTCAAATTTAAGAAATTCGAACGTAGTTTTCCATGACAAGATGATTTCAAACGAGAAAGTTATCAACTACAAAGTTTCATAACTTTTTAAGATCTACAACTTTTATTTTTACTGTTTGTCCATCCGAGGTTGTTTAAAAGCTTAAAATTTTAAATTTTTAGAAATTCAAACGTAATTTTCCTTGACAAGATGATTTCAAATAAAAAAGTTGTCAACTATAAAGTTTCATAACTTTTTGAGATCTACAACTTTTATTTTGATTATTTCTCCATCCAAGGTCCTTTATAAAATTTGAATTTTAGTGCTTAATTTTTAATGCTCGGTGTTTATTTGTAGAGGCTGTTCAATATTGAGCCTTGTAGGGACGGCTGAATATAGAGCCACCCCTATAAATCGGGTCATTTATAGGAACGGCTGATAACACCGGTTATGCCTATAAATCTATTTATAAGAGCGGCTCATTTGACAACTATTTGTAGGGGCGGTTCAATATAGAGCCGCTTCTACAAAGAAAGAGATGAGTTGTTATAAATCGTTTTTGTAGTGGTGTCGCTGGCGGGTGCAAATGCTCATCACCTCTCTATCTACCGTCTCTTTGGTTCTTTCTTATTCCACGTGCTGTACTAGTGGAATGCTGGTGTGTTGTGTAGTGTCACACACATCTAATGACCATGAACATCAGATCGGTTGGATTCCTTTCTAATTTGGGACAGAAATTGTGTCGTAAACTTTTACACTTCTACTCCATTACACAAATAACTTTTGTGAGGTCTTCACTCTTCACATAACCGAGAAGCGAGCACATCATTTCACTGAAGTCAATCAAGAAATTTAAAAACAAAAGCAACCCAGAAAACAAAATGTGAAGGAAGCAAGATTGATTTTTTATTTTATTTTGTTTTATTGATAACAAGAAGCAAGCTAGATTGAGCACTTTGATCTCAAAGCTAGGAGACAAATTGACATTTGGGCCAAAAGCCGAAACAGATGGAGCGGCCAATTATTTGATTGTTCGGCTAGCATTAAATTGCTACGGTAGCAGCTGAAAAATACTATTTATACTAGAATTTAACAAGAAAAAAATACTACTCCAGCTAAAAAAAACAGCCAGCCAAAGCTGACCAGCCGAACACGTGGTATATAGCCTAGCGCAGCAGCGAACGTCTTGTTGCATTGATTGGATAGCCTGACACCAACCCGTACTTGCATTGAGTTTTTATCTCCCTCTTCAATGCTTGTCAATGACCTTGAGTTTCTCCGATAATAATGAGAAAATTTCTTATTTGGTTCTAGTTTAAAGTTGTCTTTCTTTCTTGACCCTGAAACAAAATTTGTTATCTATTTGGTCTCACTTGAAGTTTTGTTTTTTAATATGACCTTACCGTCATCTCCTGCCTCTAACACCGTTAAGTGGCACATGAAATGACCAAACTACCCCTAAAACCATTTATACCTTCAATTGCTTCCCTGGGAGTCTTGAAGCCAAGGCCAATGCTCTTCTAGAATCAGTTGCCTCCTTTGCCTGGCTTCTTACCCTTGCCATATTACTTTGAGCTATAAAATTAAGAAGAGATCTACTATCACGAAATGCATATGGCTCATGGAGAATAGAAAGCATGGACTCACCTGAGGAAAACCTTAGGCTGCTTGAGGAAAGCCTTCTCAGTCTAGAAACGGGATATAGATAGAAAACATTAGAACTACTTTGCAACTAGCTGGAAACTGCTGGAATTGCTTATACACATGAACAAACAAAAAACTTGGCAAATCCCTGACTACTACAGTAAGTGCTGTGCTCTAAAATAATCGAGTGACGATACTTATCGCTATAAATGCATCACATCAAAATGGGATCCCCATCAAAATATACTAAATGATGTCAACTTGATCATAACACACAATTTAAACAAGTTCATCATCCTAAAAATTCAAAGGGACACAGAGCACATAGTTCAACATAGTGTTCGACACATACATCATTTTCACACATCGCTTTCACGATTACACTAGTTTGACACATCGTTTGACGATACATCAAGTTCATATTAAAAGCGACATTGCAGGCAAATGAAAGTCACAAACTGAGCCTCCTTTTACTTCTTGTGCTCATTGCAGGGCTAGCAGGATTACATATTTTGCTTCTCGTGCCCATCGCAGGGCTATCAAGTATCAGTGGCTTTATGGTAATGTCTTTAGCTATATTCTTCCTCTTCCTCTTTGTCTTAGCCTTGGCCTTCACAGTTTTAGATGTTGGTGCTGCACCACTTGTAAGCTTCGGTAGATGGTTCAAAGTTGATTTGAGCCCTTTTTGACCTATAAAATGCATGTAATGGGGCATTCATTTTAGTTAAACTTGGAGAGATATAATCAGATATAACTAATTGACTTATTGATTAATCTCTAAAACTATGACAAAATCAAATCGCTCATAAGCCATTTTTATGTGAATTTCCATACATTTGATAAGAAACATGTTCTCATTGTGTACAAAATTGACATCTTAGAAAATCAACAAGAACATGTTGTTTGTCATTTTTGCCTGCTCATTGCATTTTGCTTTCTGGAGAAAAGTTGGCTTGGGAGTGGCAGCTGGGCTTGTTAGGTTCTACTGTGTACTTGATCAACTTGTTTTGCATTTTATTAGGTAATAATTCATCTATATGTGCTTTTTTCAGCCATATCCTTACTTAGCCAATTGACCTGTTGAAGTGAGTCTTGCTATGTGCTACAGACGTTTCCAAAGGGGTATGTATCTCTAGCATGTCAGAGCACTGTAGTTCACTAAATTATCATGCCACCAGGGCACCAAGCCAAAGATGGCAATTAATCGCTAAATCATGTATATGGCTCGGCAATTAATCGCTAAATAAATCATGTATATGGCAAGCAGTAAGGTGGCCAATCGACTTTTGCAGGGCCTAGAACTTGGACATATGTCACTGCATCAAACCTACCTGACCCTCAATGTCTTTGAAATTGTAAGCCTAAATTGCATGCATTCATGCTACCTACTACCTCCGTGGAGAAAAGAAAGCTACTATGCCAGCGAAACCAATAGAAATCAGTAGTAGTACCTTGTTGATCCTGCAGATTCAACCGTGCCTTGTTTGGACTTTTCTTAGCTGCAGGCTCAA